TACATGACCCTCCTAAAATAACTTTGTGACCCTCCCCCCCACAACTCCCTTTTGGGTCAGAACCCCCAATTTGAGAAACGCTGGTCTCCCTTGTGAAATCTGTATAGTATAGGATAAAAGCACAGAAAAGACCAGATTTCACAGGGGGAGACTAGATTTCACGGTCCATGACGAGTTTTTCATAGCTGTGAAATAGGTAGGGCCCTAATTATAGGCAGAGCTGGTAGCACCATCGTTAGTTAAGGTTGCTTGACACTTCCCATTGTAAGAGCCTGTTTTTAGCTGCTTATAACTTTCCCAAAATTTAACTGTGTTTGGGCTGAAAATTTCCATTCTGGGCATCTGCCTCAGGCCTCATCTGTTTCCAAGAACAAGGTTAAGGAAAAAAATATATATATATTTTCTATATTAAAAAATAGTCTTCTGTTTTGTTGTGACACTAGAGAGACTCCATGCTGTGGAGCAGGGATTTTAAATTCAGCAGGGGGTCATCGTGCTGTTAAGGGTGTGCCTTTTGCCATCTGCCCAAATTATAAACCACTGAAAAATCTTCGTTTGCACATACTCAGTAGAGGCTTGTTGGAGTTTGGCAGCTACATTCTGTGAGGATTCCATTCGCACTGAACATGCGCCAGTCCAAAGCTGGAGGAACTGAGCAGGACTTTCCCTGCAATTGCTTCTCTTGGCTGCTACAGCTCACATTGGCATTGGGTACAGGAATGGAGAGTAGGGAGACTGGCTCCTGTGCTCTGAATGCGACCCCTGCTGGTGCCCAGGCAATGAGGAGGGAGAAGGAGCCTGAATGGAGTACAGAGCCGCAAGAGCCTGTCTTGTGGTGTGGGGCCAATGGAAGGAATAGGTTAGGAAAAGGAGCTTCATAGGAGACTGGGACTGGAAGATGGAGACAAGAGGTGAGGGGGAAACTAAGACTGGCTGGGCAAGGAGACTGGGAGTAGGAGCTGGTGTGGGGTGGGGAACATGGGCAGGCAGATGGGTGAGAGACTGGGAGCTTATGTATTGGGAAGGGGAGGACAGAGAGTAGATAAGGAGCTGTGGGGAAGAGACCGGGACTGGCTGGGCAAGATGACCTGGCCTGGGACCAGGAAAGAAGAGAGACTAAGAAGAGACAAGATGCCTGGGCTAAGGTAGGGAGAGAGACAGTGCTGATACAGGGACAGGCTGGAGGGGATATGGGCAAAAGGGGTCAGGTCTGGGGGGAATGGGGCAGAAGGGTCTGTGCCCACTAGAGCACACTCCACTACAGAACTTGGAATGGAACCATAGATTTCCTGAGTCTCACCATTCCTCTGCTGTCAGCAAACATTTGTGAAATGCACTGGTAGAGTGTGCATCTAATCTCCCTCTAGTGCTGGACCTGGTCCACGTAGCAGATGACAACCTACTAGTGCTGCAGGTACTCCAGTCAAGGAGCAGATGCCTGTGCTCTGGATCTCAAATTCCAACCCTGCTGATGGCTGATTATGTATCAGATTGGAAATAACTGACCAGTAATTTATTCCCACCCTGGCACTACAGCGTCTCAAATTTCTTGGTCCATTGTGATAGCAAACATTCAAATGGTGCTTATACCCTGTAAGTGACACAGGGGAATGGGTGATGTTTTAGTTGAATGATTCCTGTTAGTCGGGCCCCTGGCTATCTTTGCTCACTGTCTGAAACTTGATAGTCACATCTCTTTGCTCTCAGTTTTAGTCATGGGAGTGGGGAATGATTCTAGCTCTCGCTCTCTTTCAAGGTTTTTACTGGTGCCTCTCGCAGTTTCAGGGTTAACTGCACCTGTGACCTACCACCTGGGCTTCCTCGAGGGCACCCTCTTAAGCTTTCCAGCTCCCAGCGTCACCTCTCTCAGTCAGAGGCCCCGTCTCTCTCCCTCCAGTCCAGGGGTTTCACAGTCCCTCTGCTCCTCACCGTGGTTTCCTCAGCAGGTTTGACAGGGTCCCATCCAGCTCCTGTGGGTAACCTCTCTCCAGGGGCTAGAACAGGGTACAGCAGTTACCAACCAGCCTTCACACAGCAAACTGCTTTTCTTCTTAGGGTAAACGCTTTACAGAGAAAACATCTAAAAACAATAAAATGACTTACACTCGTGCTAAAAGCTTACTAGGGATCACCCCTCTCCAACTTAGAGCTTTGGTAGGTGTTGGTCTTTTCAAACCCCACAAATGGGTTTGTCCACTTGGTTACAAATCCATGTCAGTTTTTAGATCTGGAACAAGATCCCTGACTGGACAGTTCAGCTGTTTAATTTTAATATAGCTTGGGCTTTATGGGAACAGGCAATCAATTTGACAGCTTCCCCTGGCTACTAATCTAACATGGATCCATCAGTGCCACAGGCACTGTTATGTCTGTGGGTGGCTGTGAGCTTGTTTTGTGAGAGTGCCAGCCTTGTGTGCTTTCCCTCTACATTTCCCTATTTGATTTCCGTCGTACACTGCCTTCATTCAACTAAATTCTGTCCCCGGATATACCAGCGCAAAGGCAAAGGGAATTGAAGGCAAAGGGAATCACTGCTTTCCCCTTCTGAATGCTTATCATTTAAACAGCACCGTTGTCGTGTAAAGTGGGAGTAAAACTGCCTACAGTGAGTCAAGAGCAACAGAGGGTCCTGTGGCACCTTTAAGACTAACAGAAGTATTGGAGCATAAGCTTTCGTGGGTGAATGCCCACTTCATCAGACGA